CCGAGGACGGAGCCGCCCCCGAGATTTAAGGATCGCGAGAGATATTCTAAAGGCGAGAGTCTGCACGACACGTCTTCCTCATTGATGTGTTCAGATCCGTTAAAACTACATTCCACAGTTTGTTCTTATCGTTGCACTTTGCCCCAATGAGCAACGTCAGCCAACGCGAGCGAAAAAGATAATATTGGTTTGCTCACTAACTATTTGATGATTACATCATTTCATTTCGCGAGTTTGTTTGACGCCGTAACTTTTCTTAGAGAAGTGGATTGGCTCAGAAGCTTCCACTCTATTTTGAAGGAATCTATTAATTTTCATTCTCCGAAGCTGATTGAAATTGGCAGTTTGTGGTGTGAAACGAGGATTTATAAATCATTTCTATGAAAAACTCAACTTCAGCCAACTCTGAATCCAAATCCACCCTGCGTAATTCGTTACATGTGACGGATATTGCACGATTAGATGTGATGCATTGAACCTATATTTCAGGATCTTGGTCGCGGGACGATTCAGGCGGTCACAAGACAGCCATAATTTCCAGTGAACTATCGTGGGGCCATTCTATCAGAATATTATGATAAAGGGAGTTCAAGTCAAAGACCGACATTGATGGATCAGGCCGTTACGCCAGCTGTCTCCCTCAAGCCGAATGAATAAAAGCAGGTTGAGTATGTTTCCCACACAAATTCTTTCTGACATAGAACTGACATAGTTGCTCATAACGAGGTTGGAATAGGTGCTGTTTATGATAATTTTTCAGCATGCAATTACAAGAATATTAAAATCGCCCTTTTACTAGGAGTTCGAGGTCTTCTGGAAGAAACAGAACAGATAATACCTCATTCGCACAAGATATCGCAGGCCAACTTGTATAGTAGACTCGGATTGGAGTACAACTTATCTTGAAACTGACGTTGACACTGAAAGCCGAAGTTTCGCAGAACAAGAGAGTAGGTAAGAACTAAGGGATGGCATGGCTCAATTCGTTCTTGTGCTTGCAGAAATTAGCCTTGCATGTTGTAAATCCGAATTCCACAACCAATATTGCTGACGATTGAGCTTTCTTTAATGGATTATCCCACTATTAGGGGCTTTAGGCTTCATTTCTCATTCGCAGGCATTTTTGAACGCCGCCTGTGGCGTCCGCTTGCGAAAATGACTATGTTAGCTTTTATTTTCGTTGAATTAGCAGTCACTATCAATAACAGGCTAATTTGAAAACAGCTAAGATTGAATTATTAATGTCAGTGAACAGTTAGTTTCGGCTTATGATGATGTGTGTAAAGGCCCCGATATGGATACCATATAAAGTCCACGTGAATACAGTAAGTAACATATTACAACTAGTATTATCAAGCTAGAAGATCTATATCCCTTTTCATCTTAAATGCACTTTGTTTCAAACCAAATTCGTCCATTTTTCAAAAACACAATTCGTCCTTTTTCCAACCATCAATTCACCGGCCTTTTCAAACAGAATTCACCCTTAACTGTCTCATCACATTAACCACTACCATGCGGGCACCGTCATCAACCAAATCAACGCCAAGGACATCACGAGCCCGCCCCAGACCGCCACGGGCCCGACTGTCAGCGGCGGACATAGATTCTCAATCTGTTCGCATATACTTCTGCTTTTGCTGTTCCCACAAACAATGTGACTGGAAAGCTGCAGCCGTGCATTCACACATCGACCGGACTCGCCCATTCTCTAAAGGTTTGGCACTCTAGGCTGGCCGCGCCCGACTGGCTTTTTCGCTGGAATTTCGATGTTTTTTCAAAATTTTGTGCATTTTAGGGTTGTCTGTTTGAAAGCCACGCCCACTGGAGATTCTCCGCCACTTTGAATAAGCCCCGCCCATGTTTCCGGAATGTGCAGATCGGCAGTATGGAGACTTGGGCTTGCAATGTCAGTGCGTCTCGTAAGCGTCACTCGAAACAAGCCAATCGGCAAAGTTTATTCCGAATGATCAAGTTCAATACCCTAGTATGCAAGCCAAGTCGTCTACACTGCCGATTTGGCATTATTTTGTGAAAAGTGGGCGGGGCTTATTCAAATGTGGGTGAGCATCTCACGGTGGGCGGGGCTTGCAGCGCAGCACCCTAAAAATGCAAAAATTTGAAAAAACATCGACATTTCCGCGAAAAGCCAGTGGGCGCGGTCAGCTAGAAAGTGCCAAACCCGTTTAGAGAATGGCGGAGTACGTCATGTGTGAATGGCATGGTGGTTTTCTCAGTCAAAGTGTTGCGGGAAACACAAAAGCAGAATTATGCAACAAGATTTGAAGATCTATGTCCGCGCTGACAAGTGGGACGTGGCCAGTCGGCGGGTCGTGAAGTGTTGGCGTGATCTGGTTGATTGAGTGTGGCCGGCCTGAATTAAGTGGTGGTTAATCTGATGAAACAGCGAGGGTGAATTTGGTTTGAAAAGGGGTGAATTTGGTTTGATAAAAGGACGAATTGTGGATGAATTTGGTTTGAAACAGACGAATTTGGTTGAAAAAGGGTGAATTAAAGGTGGACATGGTAATATAAAGCTGCTTCGTCCTATTGTTCGACGACTGAAGCCCAAGATTTTGTAGACTACAGACAGCGGGCAGATTGGGCGCTAATTGCCAATGTCGTACAGGTCTCCCTTCTTGTACAGCAACAGAGTCTTGCTGGTTTTCCACGAGGTGGGTACCTTGCATTCCGACAGGTAGCGCGTGAAGAGTCGAGCCAGAGTTTTGACAAGAACTGGCGGAAGATTCTTCAAATGTTCAGGTCTGATCCTGGGGACCTGGTGCCGTACGATTCCTCACCGACGAGATGGCATGTCGGATTTCGGAAGGGGAACTGCATTAACGATGTATCCATCTTGCTCCAAACGGTATGATGGCAGATGAACGTGGCTGTCAAAGAGATCAGAGTAGAAGTTGTGGATGACCTTCTCCATTGCCCTTCTGGATGCGGTGATTGTTCCATCCGGACGTCGGAGGGTGGTCATCTTAGTCTTACAGTTGGCGAAGTCGCGGCGGGCATTGCGTACGCTCTTCTCAGCCTCTGCGGCTTCCATCAGTACAGCTGCTCTTCTCCCCTTGAGGTCTTCCTTTATCGCTTCTCTGCATAGCTTCGCAAGCTCAGACCTCAGCTGCTAATTGCCTGCGGCTCGTGCGGCTCCACGTCGGCGAATTAGCTCGAGAATTTCCAGAGATACACGCTTCTTGGTAATCTTGGAACTCTCTGACTTCTTGGCGCAGTCGTGAAGGTGTGCGACAAGCCGTTCGTATTCCTCGTCGATGTTGTCAATTATGGAATCCCCCCAGAGCCCAGCGAGAGAAGTGAAGCGATCCCAGTTGGTGACGAGTTGACGGTCTTAGGGCTTCGCTTCTTGAACTTTGCGGCTCTCGCTCCTCGCAGTGAAGCGGAATCTTGCGCGAAGGAGACGGTGGTCGGATCCCGTATACAACTTAGGAACAACAGCGACATCGGTCAGGCAAAACCTTCGATTGAAGATGATGTGGTCGATCTCATTATGGAATTGTCCACCAGGAGACTCCCATGTCCAGCGTAGAGAGTAGGGCTTTTGGAACTGCGAGTTACCATGGATGGTATGGGTCGACATGATAAACTCAGACAGCCTTTCACCCTGCTCATTCCACTCCATTCCGTGAGTTCCGATGTGAAGATTGATCCGATCTTAGCGTTGAAATCACCGACGATGACCTTGAAGAAGGTATGATCTTCCTTGTAGAATCGCTCCAATTCCATATAGAACGCTTCGAGCTCATCCTCGTCGTAGCTCTATGTTGGTGCGTAGGTGACGAAGACTGTCAAAGCTGGAGTTGAACCACATCTTCTCAATCGCAAACTTCCGATTCGGGGTCGTCAGATTTTCGTACGAATCGATGTTCATGGCCAAGTGCGTGTTGACGAGGACGCCCACACCGCCAAC